TTTTACTGACCATAGTGCCATTCGCCACCTCTTGGAAAAGAAGGATGCCAAACCACGTCTCATAAGATGGATCCTTCTTCTTCAAGAGTTTGATCTTGAAATTCGGAACAAAAAGGGTTCCGAAAATGTTGTGGCGGATCATTTACCTAGAATAACTAATAATGATAACTCAACGGAAGTTATTCAAGAAAATTTTCCGGATGAGCATATTCTTGCTGTGAAAACTATACCATGGTTTGCTAATTTAGTGAATTACTTTGTGACAGGGGAAACTCCATCATATTGGACTGCTCAACAAAGGAGGTTCTTCCACTCTCAAACAAAATACTACATATGCAAGGACTCGGATCTTTTCAAAATTGGAGCGGATCAAGTGATTAGGAGATGTGTACCACATATAGAGCAAGAAGACATTCTTTGACACTGCCATTCATATGCATGTGGAGGGCATTTTAGTTCCAAAAAGATAGGGCATCGGGTTCTACAAAGCGGTTTTTTCTTGTAACGTCCCAAATTTCGAGTCCAAAAATTTCATTTTAAATTAACTGGTTATAAAAACATTCATAAGAATACTACGTAAAGATATGTCATTTTGTAAATCAATGTATAATGTCTGAAAACCCAAATCATAAAATAGCAACATGTCAGAGTACAATCCCAGAATATCTCAAGTGCGGAAAATCAATGCGTGTGTGTATGATGTGCCGCTACCGTGCCAGCTCCTTCCCCTTCGCTGAAGAGGCACCTGAAACCAAAACTGTAAACTGTAAGCACGAAGCTTAGTGAGTTCCCCCATCTTACCACATACCATACAATTACATAGCATACATATCGTCGGGCAATTCTGGGGTGCCCGACCTACCCGGTACGGCCATTCTGGGGTGCCCGACCTACCCGGTACGACCATTCTGGGGTGCCGACCTACCCGTGTCAAGACATTATGGGGTGCCGACCTACCCATGTCAAGCCATTCTGGGGTGCTGACCTTCCCGTCGGTCCTAACAACCGTCCCTCGGGGACTATTCCACCCCCTACTGCTACTATCGGATATATCATAACATAAACATACTATCAGACATATCTAGGGTGTCCGAACTACCCTTCGGTCCTAACAACCGAACTTGGGGACTATTCCCATCCTACTACCACTATCACATATCACATATCATGCCAACATATAAACACATCATCTCATACTGTCGGACGTATCTAGGGTGCCTGACCTACCCTTCGGTCCTAACAACCGAACTCTACTACTATCACATATAACATATCGTGCTAGCATATAACATATCAGGTAGTAGCAAACCTAGATGATATCACAAAGACAATCATCTAACATACAACTTCTACTGGTGGGCTGGCATTGTGGCCGTAGACCCACCGCTACTGGAAGGTAACTCACCTCGAACGAGTAGCTGTTGATAATCTGTGCGGGAAATCTCTGTCTGCTGCTGCTCCAGAAATCTTCCGGCTATAATCCCCACAAAACACTCAGTCAGAATCTGATATCTACTCTTAGGGTAAAATGACTATTTTACCCCTGACCAAGTCCAAGTCAAAGCCAAAGTCAACTTCCAATTGACCCGACTCGCCGAGTTGGGCCGCCAACTCGTCGAGTCCCTATCTATCATCTGCCCTTCTTCACGCCTCTATTCGTCGAGTTTAGCAACGACTCGACGAGTTCCCACTCCATAAGAACATCGAATGAATCTTCATCCGACTCGCCGAGTTGTATGAACAAATCGTCGAGTCCACCTTCATCTGATGAACAAGTCCTGTCCTCGACTCACCGAGTTGTATGAACAACTCGTCGAGTTCATCTTCAAGAGTTGGGAGATTGCCTTGGACTGCCGAGTCTGTTCATGAACTCGCCGAGTCCCATGAACTCCAGGTTTAAGGCTAAGTCCAATATGTTGGGTCACTCCTTTAAACCCTGTAAAACCCTTCTAACACCCAACTGGGTTCCCCCGAACCCTAACAGAAAAGGGGAGTCAAGTCTCAGACTCGCCGAGTCCCAAGAACGACCCGCCGAGTTGATAACATCCAAGTCCCATTTCTCGATTTCTAGTGTACAACTCTTGACCAAATGCTAGATCTATGCTCCTATGATCAATCTAGCACGTAAAGTTACGAACTTTACGTGCATGCATGGGACTTTGAGCCTAAAAAGCCCTAAAAGAAGCTCTTAGATTGCATGGAGCCTTCCATGGGTGCAAAAGCAACCCAAATCTGCCTTGTGACCCCTCCCAAGTCCTAGATCCGAAGTCTTGACCCCCAACCATGTTTGTAATCATAGTTGGCTACCTCATATGGCTTAATCACCACAAATGCCTTTAGATCTTCACACACTCAGTTAGGGTTTGCTATGGAGGGTTTCTGGGAGCAATATGGACGAGTGGTGGCTGAAAGAGATGATTAAATAGGGTGCAAACCCTCATATTAGGGTTTTGTCCAGTCAGAGCCTACTCGTCGAGTCCAAGACCCGACTCGACGAGTCCAATACTTAAATCCCGCGTCCCATCCCGCTTCTACTCGGCGAGTTGGGCCTTCAACTCGCCGAGTCCCAGGCCAAAAATGCAAAATTACTTAAATAAAATACATACCAAGAACCAGGTGCTACATTTCTGGCCCTCTATTTTTAAAGATGCACATACATTTGTTAAAGCTTGTATTCGTTGCCAATAAGTTAGGGGGATCTCATGACGGGAGATGATGCCAATGACCCCAATTTTAGTAGTTGAAATTTTTGATGTATGGGGCATTGATTTCATGGGTCCGTTCCCCACTTCTTTTGGCAATCTATACATTCTTGTAGCCGTCGATTATGTATCAAAATGGGTCGAAGCCGAGGCTACACGCACGAATGACCATAGTGTTGTTTGTAAATTTGTTAAAAAGAACATCTTTTCTAGACACGGAATCCCTCAAACTATTATTAGTGACGGGGGTTCCCATTTTAAAAATTGGCATTTTGCAAAGTTACTAAAACACTATGGTGTCATACATAGGATTGCTACTCCATATCACCCACAAACAAGTGGACAAGTAGATGTGTCAAATAGGTAAATTAAACACATCTTGGAAAAGATTGGTCCTTAAGATTAGATGATGCATTATGGGCATATCATACAGCCTATAAGACGCCCATTGGAATGTCCCCGTACCGGCTTGTTTATGGAAAGCCATGCCATCTCCCGGTGGAATTGGAACACCGTGCTATGTGGGACATTAAAAATGCTACCTTTGAATTAAGTGATGCAGGTACGAAAAGAAAACTCCAACTTGTTGAATTGGAAGAGATTCGAAAAGAAGCTTACGAAAGCTCAAGAATCTATAAAGAAAAGACGAAGGCATTTCATGACCGACATATTGTCCGAAAACAATTTCGTTGAAGGAAAATTGGTGTGGCTATTCAACTCTCGTCTCAAAATCTTCCCTGGAAAGCTTCGGAGTAAATGGAGTGGGCCTTTTGTGGTGAGAAATGTGGCGGATCATGGAGCCATTGAAATCAAGGACACGAAAGGCGGTGAACCATTCAAGGTAAGCGGACAAAGACTCAAACCATACATTCGAATGGTAGATGGAGAAACGACACTCGTTGAGAAAAAAACGCTCGAGGTACCACAATATTCAGAAACAATTTAGTCGAGGTAAACCGTCCGGCTGAAGATGTAAAATTTAGCGCTTTTCGAGAGGCAACCCGCAGTTTGGTGTGTTTTTAATTTTATTTTTCTTCTGGTGTGTTTTAATTCTTTTTGTATCGAGGACGATCCAAGGTTTAAAGTTGGGGAGGGGGTATTTAATTTTTGTTATAAAAAAAAATCTTGAAAGATACCCGAAAAACGTTCCCGAACAGTCAAAATTGTGAAAAACAGCAAAAAAATAAAAAAATAGCCTTCAGGCGTCCTAGGGGACGTCTAAGACGCCTCATAAGACGCCGACGGGCTATCACGTTTTTTTCCCCGATGATATCCCATCGCAAAATTACAAAAATGCCCCTGTTTGTGTAAGACGTCCTAGGACGCGTCTAAGACGCCGTCTAGGATGCCGACGTGTTTTTCACCTGTTTTATTCCGTTTTCTGCATAATTGTTGGTATCTTTCTTCTCCAAATTGCCATAGCCGAAAACCCACTTGTTCTTGCCTGTTTCCTTCGATTTCTTGGCCAAAACTCAACTAAAATTCGTGATTTTTGTTGCAATCTTCAAGAAATTAAGTAAGAAACATCACATTGCAAGATTTACACACTCTAATCACTTATTTGGGGCCGATTTCAAAACCCACAAAAACTAGGGTTTCGAAATTTTGACTTATTTTGGGTTTTTGCTTCAAGTTCTTGGTTCTTCTTCACTAGAAACACAATTTCAACAAGGTGTGTGCTTCAAAACCCCATCTTTTAGTTGAATTTCTAATTTTTTTCATGTATGTTCATATATGTTTGAAATTTTGAAAAGATGAAGAATATGATATATATTGTTATGGATTCTTGTGAATTAGTGTTTGTAGGTGTTAGAAGTATGTTTCAAACAAGTTGCATGTGTTGATTTGGGAATTTTCTGAAAATTGAATTTTTGTTGTTAATTGTAAAAAAAACATATAATGTTGGAAAATCATTCTTATGTTTATATTTGTGTTTGGATTAAAAATTCAAGTTTTTAGAAATTTTCAAAATGACACTGAATTTTGACACTGCATTTAAATTAACTTTGTTTGGAACAGCTTGCTAACTGAATTATTGTTTTATTTTTGTGACATTTGATATGTTTAATGGCAAGTTTTGTTTTGCGGTTTTGTGTGTGAATTATTTTGCAGATGCCAGCAAAGAGATCAAGGGTAGCATCATCAAGTAGTGCAGCTCCACAACCAGCTAGACAGCCGGAGCCAAATGTACCTGTGGCTTTCAACCCATAGTATCAGACATTGCATGAGCATCCATATGACATTCGTCCGACAGTTTATGAGGCAACTCATCCGATTACGGGTTTTATTGTAGAGTACATGGTGGAGCGACCGAGCTTCACTGGGTACAAAATTGTGGAGACGTTTGATTGCTATGGATGGGGTGGAGTGCTGGACTTCAATCCCACACAGATTTATGTTGATATAGTGCAGGAATGGATGAGGACACTTCGACGTATCGAGGTGCCTGGTAGGCCGAAGGAGTTGCAGCTGATTGGTACAGTTCGTACTCATGATATAGTGATGATTGTGCAGGGTATTCGGGACATGTTTCATGTAGATACTGGATATCATCTGCATGATCTTGAGAATCAGCCGACTGAGGTGTGTGCTTCAAAACCCCATCTTTTAGTTGAATTTCTAATTTTTTTCATGTATGTTCATATATGTTTGAAATTTTGAAAAGATGAAGAATATGATATATATTGTTATGAATTCTTGTGAATTAGTGTTTGTAGGTGTTAGAAGTATGTTTCAAACAAGTTGCATGTGTTGATTTGGGAATTTTCTGAAAATTGAATTTTTGTTGTTAATTGTAAAAAAAAACATATAATGTTGGAAAATCATTCTTATGTTTATATTTGTGTTTGGATTAAAAATTCAAGTTTTTAGAAATTTTCAAAATGACACTGAATTTTGACACTGCATTTAAATTAACTTTGTTTGGAACAGCTTGCTAACTGAATTATTGTTTTATTTTTGTGACATTTGATATGTTTAATGGCAAGTTTTGTTTTGCGGTTTTGTGTGTGAATTATTTCGCAGATGCCAGCAAAGAGATCAAGGGTAGCATCATCAAGTAGTGCAGCTCCACAACCAGCTAGACAGCCAGAGCCAAATGTACCTGTGGCTTTCAACCCATAGTATCAGACATTGCATGAGCATCCATATGACATTCGTCCGACAGTTTATGAGGCAACTCATCCGATTACGGGTTTTATTGTAGAGTACATGGTGGAGCGACCGAGCTTCACTGGGTACAAAATTGTGGAGACGTTTGATTGCTATGGATGGGGTGGAGTGCTGGACTTCAATCCCACACAGATTTATGTTGATATAGTGCAGGAATGGATGAGGACACTTCGACGTATCGAGGTGCCTGGTAGGCCGAAGGAGTTGCAGCTGATTGGTACAGTTCGTACTCATGATATAGTGATGATTGTGCAGGGTATTCGGGACATGTTTCATGTAGATACTGGATATCATCTGCATGATCTTGAGAATCAGCCGACTGAGTATAGATGTATTGACACGAGGGGGGGGGGGGTAACCCTGGGGTTAGCATGATAGATATATATACAACACAATATTTTGTGAGGAGACGAGGGCATACGACAGGTTCCGCGAGTTGGTGCCTTTAGCAAAAGCATTGCATAACATTATCACAGAAAATGTGAACCCGAGGAATAGTGATCCCAGGGCGGTGAGGACACAAGACTTATATGTATTATATGGATTGATGACAGGATCCATCTTTATCTCTTATCAATATATTGATATGTGCAACATATGGTCCTGTTTTGATATCCAACACAGAGTCACCCCCCCCCCCCCCCATGTTGCCCTGATATCGACATATGTGACTAGGGAGCTGGGGAATAGGATCAGGGTCCCACGTGTTACATCATACCAGCGTATCCTTCACCCCACTGCTACTTCTTTCAGACACATCTCATTTCAAATTATAAATGGGAGACATACTCTGGTGGATTCTTCCACAAACTTGACATACACGGCACCACTAGGAGTAGGGGATGAGGAGCAATTCGTTGGTGATTTTCAGGGGGATCAGCAGCAGCAACGGGGACAAGCAGCAGGTTAAGTATGGAACATGCAGGCAGCTTGGGAGGACTTTGTAGGGAGGCAAAACACGCATAAACAGGAGGTGCAGGCTTGGATGGGGAGAACAAATATATGGATGGAGGGTGTCGACACGACACTAGCTGATCTTACTGAGCAGATGCGACAGGTTGGCATTATAGCTGACAACACTTATAGTGTTACCACTCGTCAGTTGTACCAGCAGGAGTACTACACAGATGCCGCCTACAGACAAAGTCGTGTCCAGCATGACCCGATGGATATTGATCAGCCACAGTATCGATATCAAGCTCCAGCTCTGGTTTTTTACCGATCCGGGGATCCGAGCAACTATCCACTGCCATCCGAGTATGAGCATTATCAGCCACCACCAGCTACAGCAGACGCCGTTCGATTTGATGATTTAGCTGGATCGATCTTTGGGTATCGCAGTGAAATTTGGTGAGATCCTCTTTTGATTTTTATTTTTATGGTTGTGTGATGAAGACTTTTTCTCTTTATTTTTATTTTTCGTTTGATTTTCATGTCTTTACTTGGGATGAATGTACTGTTATTAAACTCATTATTATTATTATTCTCTTTTGGGTTGGTTCCATGAAATATGTGATGAGTTAGGTGTTGTTTGTTTTTCCGAAGCGAAAATTCATAAAGTCTGCGGACCACCTCTGCCATCCTCTGTAGCAGAAGAGGTGGAACAAACGGTTGCAGCCTATAATAAGAAGCATGTTTGTTTTTTAACATTTGCAGACTGCTGCAGTAAACTGAAATTTAAATAAACTAATTTTATAAACTGAAAATAGTTATCAACACCGAAATTTTAATAATTCTACTCTTAAAACATTGAAAAAATACTAAAAAAACATGTAAAAAAACAGAAATATAAACATTTTTTGAAAAAAAAACTTAAAAAAATATAAAAGAAGCTAACGATTTTATTCTAGAAAAAAAACTAATTTTTAAAAAACATAAAAAAAGAAAATAAAAAAAAATTAAGAAAGTATTGCAAACGTTGTCTACAAAGTTCGTAAAAAATTACACACGTTAAAAAAGATGCAACTGAAACTAAAAATATTATTAACGGAAACGACAAAAAAATTAAAAAAATCAAAGTTTTTTTAAAAAAATAAAGTTAAAATTTTTTATGGAAATTATAAAAAAAATTGTATCAAATCCGTAAATAAAAGTTTTTAAAAAATCAAAGTTTAAAAAAATAAGTTATATCAAAATTCTAAAAAAACACTTGGAAAAAGAAAGCTGAAGAGGTTTGAAGAGGCAAGTCAAGTGCTGCGCCACGCAGCACACGCGCAGAGGTTTTGTAGTCTGAAGACTTCCAAAAAACAAACTGCTGCGAGAGGGAAAGTGTTGCGCGTGTGCTGCGCCGCACAGTAGGAAGTGGTTTGAAGATGTTTTTTTCATAAAAACAAACAACACCTTAGTAGCATCTCTATATCTTGAATGTAACTCATCAAGATGGAAAATGATTGGAGTTTCGTACATCGAGTGATAATATTTATTTAATATTGATTTTGTGGATTGCTCAACCGATTTGAGAATATTTATATTTAGTTAAAAAATTGTTATGTGAAATACCCAAGTGTTTGAAAAATGAAAGTTTTTGGCTCGGGCCTACGATCTTTCAATTGAGGACCCAACCGAACAATATGTGTCATCACGCTCTGAGTACTTGGTCTTACTTACTCCTACGCCTTTGGGGTTGGGAGGGGACTATTATTGTTTTCACACAACCAAAGAGCCTCATAAGACATTGAAGAACGTCCAAGTATATATATATATATTCAAGCTCAAGTCAAATACAAAAATGATTAAATCCGATGAAGCCATCAAGGAACTTGAAGAATGCACAATCAAGATGAATATGAAGAAAAGTTCAAGTTGAAGACATTGTGTGAAACAATATGTGACCCCTCGATAGCGGGAGTGTATGGGTTGGTCCATTAAGTGTTACCGACCGCGCTAACTATGTTAGTGAACCTTGAAAACGAGACTTTGGCAATGAGTTCAACTGATTACTCATGAGGTTGATTATTGGAAAGGGTTCAAAAAGTGGAGGGTTTCAAACAAAAAAGTAAAATAAGCATAACATGTGTTTTGAGTTTAAAAGTCTGGATAAGAAACTAATAATCCCCAAAATCAATATATTATGTTATTGGAAATATTGTGATAAAATGTACGAAATTCGTGATTCCATTAAGTTTTTCTTAGGATGAGAGAATAAGACTACACTGATTATTTCAGACCAATCTCGGGACGAGTTTGGAATAAAATTGGGGAGGTTTGATAAGTCTATTTTATAAATATACTAAATTGTCATAAATCTATTGAATTGATGTATAATTGTCCAAGAATGACACTACTTTGATGAGTTGTTGAACTTCATATGCAGGTCAATATATTGTACTAAAAGTGGGCGGAACCTGCAAGTAAAACAGATTGCTAAAGGAATGAAGAAACGTTGCTGGGAAAATTGATCATGCTTCAATGTTTTGGTCATATCTCAAGTTCTAGAGCTCCGATTGACATGAATAAAGAAGTTACGGAAACTATACAAGATTTGCTACAACTTTCATGTTTTGTGTTTCTGCTACTTATGTCGTTTTGAGCACCAGAACTTGCACTGAAGATGAACGACGCCCCCAGGCGTCTAAGACGTCCCCTAGGACGTCCAGGTCAAACGGTCAGCATCTGGTCAAATTTCGGAGCAGAAAAGGAAGAGAAGGCCCGTCGACGTCTTACAAGGCGTCTAAGACGTCCCCTAGGACGTCAAGGCGTTTTAGGGACGTCCCGTGTTGGAACGGTGTGTTTCGTAAAGTTTAGAAGTCAAGGAAGGACGTCCTAGAATGCGTCTAAGACGTCTCCTAAGACGTCTGACGTTTTTGGCCATTTTTTAGTGTATTTCAAGGACGACAGATGGCATGGAAAGGCGTACAAAGAACGCCGTGGCGTTATACACGACGTCTAAGACGTGTATTAGGACGTCAAACGTCCCGCATCGCCGGTTCTCTTTATTTTTTGTCACACACTATAAATAGGAGCCTATGGATTCGTTTTTAGGGTTACCACCTGCGATTTTTAGAGTTTTTTCTGCGTTTTTGAGGCTTCTAAAACCCTTGGAAACATTTGGAAACACAAATCCATTCCATTTCAATCCGGATTCAAGGCAAGATTCGATTCAATTCATCATCAAACAACAATTGAAGATCATTCAACCGGTGATTCTCATCAATTCTAGTAATTTTCAGAAACGATTACTTCCTCCCAAGGTTTATTTTGTTTTGTACTTTGATAATCATTAGGCTACATTTGTTTGACGATTCTAAGTTTGATTATGAATTCTATTATGCATTTTATTTATTTCATTCAAGTTATTTGTTTTATGAAATCAATGGAAGACTAAATCATTAGGGTTACTTCCGGGGATGTTTAGGACTTTTGGATGAACACACTTGATTATTACTTGATTCTAGTTAATTTCAATTGTTGTTTTATGCTTCATGTGATGATCTTTGGTAATGATAATTGAAATTGGGTTGTATGAATTTGTTTGATGTCATACTTAAGATAGTCTATTGTTAATTCATCATTTGTTCCAAGTTAAAGTAGTTTATGAATAAAGACAAGTGATTGAATCAACATATATTATTCCAACTTATGATATTGAAACTTAATATGGTAATAGGTAATTGTAAGATACTTTATTGCTAATTCACTAATTGTTCCTAATCCATTTAGACATAGGGAGTAAGACAACTAGTTGAATGAACATATTGTGTGCCCAAAGTTATGTGTTACAAGATAATAAACCCCAATTGCATTTAAGTAATTGAACTAGGATTGTTGGGAAGAAAGTATGTGAATCTAAACTGTCCATAACTGAACCGGGAGTACCTTGCCTTTCTCATTGAGAGTTTCGTTTTTATTAATAAATTTCCAAGTTTTTGTTTGATCTTTGTTTAAATCTTTTTTGTGACAATTGCTAGTATTAGTTTTTCGTTAACTATTTCAACACAAAGTTTGACCACAACCTCCTCGTGGATTCGACCCTTACTTACCCTAGCTATCTAGTGGTTTTTGATGTTATTTTTTATTGAGACAACGACCTCGATCATATACTCATATAGAAAATAACATATAATCATGCTAATACATAACAAACAGTCGCTATACTTATAACTGCTAGTCTCAAGGCCCCGTCTATCATGGGCCTCGCCCCTACTCTGCTACTCATGAGATATGGAACCCCGTCCACACTCAGCTAGTGATGAGATACAGGCCCTCGCCCACACTCACCTCCCTACCAGGGACATACAAGTATCACAAAGATAACAATTATAACTAAACATACACTACTGCCTCGGGTACCACCCGACATCGGACCGAAGTCTGGAACATATAAACTATATCAGGCTAACCCCCGACATCAGATCTAAATCCGGTATACACTAACAACTAAACGGGTCGACATTGTGGCCGTAGACCTGTTCCTACAGGAGAAAACTCACCTCGCAAGGCTGACTGTGGAAATCCTGCGAATAACTCCTCGCTGCTAGCTGGCAGATCCCCGAACTGCTGATCTCTCGACTCCCCGAGCTATCAATACCAAAATACCACTAAGTCCAAAACAATAATCCTTCTTAGGGTAAAATGACCATTTTACCCTTTAGTCCAACTTGGCCCATAACTAAGGCTCCAAATCATATTATAAAAAGGCCCAACACTAGGTAGGCTTCCTAAGCCCACTAATGGCCCAATTTGCTAAATTGGGCCCAATCCCTCTAATTGGACATACCCTAAGCCCAAACATCTTCTTGGCCCACATTATCTGACTCCTGATGGACCACAAAGGCCCAAAAGACCAAAATCCCATTCATGGCCCAAACCGAGGCCCAAAATACACAAGGCCCATCTCTGATGAGTACGTTGGGCGTACTCCTATGTACGCTAAGCGTACTGGCCAAATGATGCGTACGCTGGGTGTGACTA